CCACCTTACCGGACTTAATTCGCTTTTAATACTCTGATAGATAATTTATATCCGTTCGTAATAACTTCCTAATATGCGGCGGAGGCGGCTGTGTGGGGTTGCCTTGGGGGCAGCAGGAATTGAAGATTGATATACTTCCGGTCGATACCGGCATGCCCTAAATATCTCATGTCGATTTTCATCTAGATACTAATTTTGAGATAACGGGCGTATCAAACCGGATATCAATTTGGTTTAAACGGTATATGATAGAGGATGAAATTCTACATAATTATCTTTTTACAGAAATACTAAATTATTGTTAGTTTTATTGTTATTAACAATTTAATTTCGGTCTAAAGAAAAGTTGAAATTTTTTGATTTTGAAATTTTTTACATTTTTAATAATAACTTTTTTTGTAGAACAGATATTTGTATCAGTTAGACATAATTTTAATTACAATTAAATTATCTATAAAATGCTTTTTGCAGATTTTAAATATCCTTATCAAGAAGCAAGTTAAACTGTGTTAAAGTTGCATGTCTATATAAATTTAACAATTTTAGTGTTTCCAATGCCAAAAAGGCACTTATTTCAATGAAACCTATTCCAAAAATACATTTATCTTAAAGATAATTTAATTACCTTTAAAATAAGCTGTAACATGACTAATTTAAACAATTTTTACATAAATTACAACTAAAAAACTAACAAAAGTCATTTTAAGTCACTTTCCCTTTATTTAAGTAAGTAAAACAAGTTGCCTATAGTCAGCCCACGTTTCACAACTCTTAAAACACCTTAACCTGCGATAACCTTGACTTAAGTCACATGTTTGCCTAGGTTAAACTCCCATTTTACTTAAAAATCAAGCACTTTTACTTAATGTTAGTTGAAGCAGTTAAACCAGCTATAAAGTGGTCGTTATTGTCGACGCAAAGAAAACGAAAGTTTCCTTGCTATGGCACGAGCAGGATATTCTTAAACTCCAACACATATGCTCCCAGAGTGCACAGGATCCCCAGGAACTAGTCTGGTGTCTAAAGTCTGCGGAATGTGACAACGGAAAGCAAAATTTAGAACTGGCAACTGAGTATGAAGCAAAACGCCGTGCAGAATGTGCAGAAAAGCGAAAGTAATGGAGTCGTAAACGTTTCTACAACGATCCTTCCAACACTCGTCCTTTTCGTCCTTAAAACTAAAAATTTTTATTTTTTTATTTTTGAATTAATTTTATTTTTGTTGCCATCAAACGCATTAAATTCACGTTTGTGTCAAAGTAAAGCTTTTATCCTTTTAGCAATTAATAGGATATCGTAGGAGCGAGCAAAAGGATTACACGTTTAGGGTGCTTTTATCCTGCACGTGTCTATTTTCTATTTGTTGGCTTTCCTTTGAACAGTTTTCCAACATCCTTTACCCGCGCAGACATGAAATAAACTTATCAGGATCAAAAACATTTTTTGTTAATAAATTTTAGTTTAAAAAATAAAATTAAAATTTATGAGAATCAAGATTGGTCCCGATTATGACATGAAATATGACGACGATTCTGTAGTTATTTTTTAACGGCTTCAAGTGAATTTTTATTCATATAGTTATGATCTTGTTGAGCGGTTTTCTCGAAATTTATGTAAAGATAGCGCGTGTTGCGATGTTGATTTTTCGATTTCTCGGTAAGCGACAAACGACCCAAGCTTGGGAACTCACTTCATCACATTGGCGCAACAAAGACCGCTGTGGATTAACCGCCGCAATAAACAGGTAGCCAAAATGGGCAAGGTAATAACTACTTGAGGTTAAATTTAGATATTCAGATTAACAAGAAATTTTATTCGAATTTCCAAAAATAACCAGTTTACACACAACAAAAAACATTAAATTTTATTTAAGTCAAGTTGACTTAACTTAAGTCAAGTATACTTAAGTCTAGTTTTCTATTGTTTTGGCGTTGCGATGCGCATCTGAAACTTGAATCATTGATTGTAACGTACTAATAAGCAAACACAGTGTCTGCGTTGTTTTCAAAAGGCTATTGAAAAGCCATATCGACACCGAAACTGACACTTTGAACACTTGGACACTGAAAACCGAAATCAACATAATAGAAATATCAGCCGGCGGAATAATAGCCGGCAGCGTTGTGTGGCGAAACTAAAAGTGAGCGCGATTGGGGATTGAATGTCCAATTGTCCACGCGTGGTCCTTTGTCTTCGACTCGATGTCCAGTAACTATAAACTCCACAGCGCGCTGGAATTGTGTATAGTTCATGTGCGCGGTGAGCGTTTACGGCGTGAGTTATGGAGTTATAGACAAGCGTTCGCCGAAAACGTCGGCGAATTGTTGTCGTTGTCGTGGAACTTTGCTGATAAATACGCCTGGCGTTCATTATATTTGTTTGGCCATTCCACGCATGATATATTCCTATCAGTTTGGACATTCTGTGCTTATTTTATTGTATTTGCACAAATAGCTACTATATTTTACTTATATACTAAAAGGATAAATTAATAAATTTTTTTTTTGCAATTTTAACGCATTTTTGACGATTTTTACAAAAAAATTAATTTTTTTCCAAAAATTTTTCAAATTTTGTGATTTGTGTTTAATTTATGAAGTTTTATTGTTATTAATTGTTTATTATGCACCTAATTTAATACAATTTATAGCTGTGAATTAAAAATTTACAAAAATGTACAAAAATTGCTAAAAGAATTAAAAAATTTGCAAAATTTTTGGGAAATTTTTTTTTGAAACTTAATATTACACAAAATTATTAATAATTATTGACAAAATCAACTTCTAGAAAGCCATTCTATTAGAAATTAGTATTTATTTCCAAAAACTGGTGAAATCAGAAAAAAATCCATGTTTTTTTGGCAAATTTACGAAATTTTTTGCAAATTTTACAAAAAAAAAATACAAATACTGCATTTTCTGGTAAATTTATTAATTTTACTGTTTAAGTATACTGCGCATAAATGACTTAAGTCAATTAAATAAGTTTTAAGTAGGGTAGACTGGGTACGGTTGTACCATTTTTTAGATTTATGCCTGTAGGCTTAATAGGATTTTACTTAGCGCAATTGTACTTGTCATAGTTTAATGCCTAATCATCTGGCTACGTTTTGCCCATATTTTTAATCCCTCAAGTTTACAAGTACCTTCATAAATCTAAATTTTGTTGTGGGTGAGAAATGGTACAACCGACCTCAGGCCTCAGGACGGTTGTACCAGGGAGTGGGGTCGATTGTACCATACAGAAATAAAACTTATTTATTACAATAAACGTATTTATTACAATAAAGAAAACACTTTTAAAATTATACTTAAATGCCCTGCTATATGTGCAACAATATAATTAGTTGGAATCACAATTATTGCCTACGTAGCTGGGTTCTCCGTCAGTGCATTGCTCATGAGCCCAGTTCTTACACTCAATATTTCCTATTTTGCGAATACGTACTCGTGGCATCTAATATAAAGCAAACGTTTTACGTTTAGAAAGAAAAAGAAATTTTACTTTAAAATAATACAAGGCATGGGGTCGTTTATACCGGTACAACTGTCCCCATATTATTTGGTACAACCGTCCCCATGTGGACATTTTCCAAATTATATTTAATTAAAAAAAAAATAATAGGGATACAAGAATTTGATTAACATACCTTTATTCTTCAAAAACCATTTATTTTCAATAAACACACACGTATAATATAACACGCAAGACAAGATTTAAAAACTAAAAACAATTCATCATCAAATATTTACTTTTGATCTCAAAAAATCAAAAACACGTCCTACACGCGTGTAACTGGCTTTGTGTGACTCAACATACAACTTACATACTTCAACTTGTATGCGGCTACTATCACTCCTTGAAGGCATAGGGCTGTGCTCAACTGTTCACGAGATATTTGCTTTGGTACTACCACCCCCCCTGGTACTACCGTACCCAGTCTACCCTACCCAAAAACTAAGAAAAAGCCTTAAAATGCTCCAAAAACCCAAAATTTTTGACAATTTTTTGAAAAATTCGTTTTTTTTTTACAAAATATATCTTAAATCAATTCCAAAAATTAAAAAAAAAACTTAAATATCTTAAAAACAATAAAATTTAGACAATTTTTTGCAAAAAAACTACTTTAGAACTTAATATGACTTAAGTCAATCAAGATGGCGACCAAATAAACATTTTTCCTTTAAATCCTTAAAAAATGAATCCCCTGGCTAACAAAACCCATACTCAGTAACAAATGTAACTTGTCGTTGCGCGCGACAACATTACATTACTTAACTCGCGCCGTTTGACACGGACTAATCGCGACCGCGGCGCGCCGCCATTGTGTCGAGGGTCGCTACCGTATTTTTCGTCTTGTGCGGCCGCTGTGTATGCCTGCAATCGATTCGCGTTCGAAAAACCAAACAAATCCAAACTAAAGTAAAGCTTACGGCTGCAATGATCAAAAGCTCAATGGTCAATGAACGACGCATCGAACAATGGCTAAATTGGTTAAAGTAAGATAGAAGGCGCACAGGCGCGCAAGACTTAAGTCACTCGGCCGGCATGAATTCGCCCCCTATGGTGCGGACAAGCGCGCACGCCACAAACATCGCCAACGACAAATGACCGAACCAAACTTGCTCAACTTAAGCCACGCAGACTCTATGCGCATGAGAATCATATCAATGAGATCGATGCATTTTAAGTGAGTTTATTTCTATTCAGTATTTATACTCATACATAACTTAGGAAATAAAAAATTAAAAAATAAAAAAAATAAAAAATTACAGCCAGTAGGAGAATATGTGGGTGATTTTTAATATTGTCATTTAATGACACGTGATCAATAACATTATATGGCTACCAGCTTTGAATTTTTTATTTTTCACTGACAGATTTATGAATCTTCGATGTAGATACAATTTTTTTACAAAGTTGGTTAATTACGTTGCGTTGTAGTTTTGAACAAATCGATTAGTCATAGGTTAAGTCGGTCATATTTTTCGTGCGCACGTGCGGCTTTCAGGCTATTAATTCCGGTAGTTTTCGGGTGAGGATTTTTTGTTTGTCTCTCGGCTTCTTTTGATCAGCTTTCTAAGAGGGAATCATAGTTTAAACACAGACCGGAAGCAATTAAGTGTGGGGGTGATGATTAAACATACCATCATCATGAAATGGGTTAAAATTAATTTTATTTTGTTTGTAATTATTCAAAATTAAAAATTGTACTAAGAATTAAGGTTAATTTATTTTAATTCATACATTTAAGCAATTTTTTTAAATTTTTTAGATAAATTTTTGTATTTTTTGCAATTTTTTGAAAAAAAGTGAAATTTTTCTAAAATTTTTGCAAATTTTGTAATTTTTTGATTAATTTCGGATATTTTATTATTACTAATTGTTTATAATTTGCAATAATGCAATAAAATTTATGATTTTGAATGAAAAATTCACTCAAATGTACAAAAATGGCTCAAAAATTCAAAAATTTGCACAATTTTTGCAAAATTTTTGCATTTTTAGAGAAAAACTAAGCAAATTTTAGTAAAAAAAATTGCTAAAGTAGTATTTTCTTATTAATTTGTAACAAATTATTATTATTTGTTTAAGGATACTGCTCTTAAGTTGCTAAGAGTAACCCAATATAAAAAAAATACAAAAAACGCCTAAAATCCAAAATTTTTAAAAATTTTTGCCAAAAAATCACAAAAAGCAAAAAAAATGTTTATTTTTTTGTAATTATTCAAAAATAAAAAATTTACTTGAATAAATTTTATTCTTGAATTCTTGTAGGGCAAAGTGAGTGATTTATAACGGCCAATCAATTTCCGTTAAGCGAACTTAACGTCGCGTATAAAATCGCAATAAATTCGAAGCTTACCGATCGAACTCCGCAGCCGCCGCCGCCACTTTATACTCCTTGTGCATTGTGTCCTTGGCATTCATCCTGTCGCATCCCCTATAAGCTTTAAACGGAAGTATGACAAATCAAACTTGAACGGCAATAAATCACAAATCAAAATCCTCAAAATAAAAACAAAAAACTAAAAAAATAAAAAAAAATCAAATATAATATACGAAGAATGTTTGTGGGGCGTCCAGTCACGACTTTGTAAATGATATCTTGACAACCAATTAAAAACCGTTCGGAGCACGTCTCATCTCTCCAATAATAAAGAAGCTGCGAGCTGCGAGAGTTGCGCGAGCGCGGAATAAATTAAAATCGAACCTTCGTTCTTCTCCCGACTCTCAAGCCTCAACATTCAAGAGATTCAAACTCGATCCGAAGATGAAAGAAAATCTAGAGACTATGATCAAACTCCAATCTTGGTTTACAACTTGTCTTCTTTTAATTTTGTTTTGTTTCTTTATACGATTGTAATTTCTTTGTTGCTGGCACACGTCAAACTCATCTTCAGTAACTCTTTTATTTTCCGGCTCATAATTAGACGTATCGAACGCTGGTCGGCGCGCGCAGGTGAAAATGTATAATTATGTTTGATGTTTGATTTGAGATCTCGAAATACCGTCCGTAAACGTTTTGAGCAACCGTTTGATTTGACCGTTTTGAGGTTTTGGGTTTTCGGTGGGTTTGACCTGTCAAAGATGTCAGAGGCGCGCGGATCGAGGCGATCTCAGACATCTCAACGCCCCGGAACGCGCAGCATGCGGTTGAGTTGTGATGGACATCAAGCGTATCACTTCTTTTTGGATTGATGGCTATCGGCGATGTAGGTGTACGATTTGATCAAATCGAAGAGATAGGAGAGGTTAACGTTGACGTTTAACATTTTTACTAACAGAAGTTAATTTTTTTTTTGTTTTTTAGGTTAAAAATAAAATTGGTCAATATTCTTGTCAATATATTGTCAATCTACCATCAATCATTAATTTTTTTTTTGTACAAATTTCTTGCATTTTTAAAAAATTTAAAGTTTTTTTCATTAATTTCAATTTTTTCAAAATTTATATAAAAATATCTAATTTTGATTGAACTAACCTCTAAATTTTCTTGTCATTCACTCTCCGCAATATTTTCTACAACCGCAGATTTATTTTTGAATTGTAATCAACTGAGCGGATGGATTTGAAGTTGTTGCCTGCGTATAAATTTATAAACGTTTAATAAATCACGTAGGATAAGCATGACGAGTGCGCGCACTCTTTGAGCAGGCGCGTCGAGACGAAAAATCAAAGAACAAGACGAATAAAAAAGGCTGAAACGCGCGGCCCCAGAAAGGTATCTTGGACGACGCAGGCGAAGAAATGATGAAAACACTAAAAACCGATAAATCACGGCATTATTGTCGCGCGGGCCGAAGTCGAGTCAAAATACTGATAAATTATTATGTGCGCGCTTCTCGATGTGGGAGATTCACTGCATTCGCGGTGTCACATGTTGGAAATTCTTTAAAGTGCACTAGAATTTCAATAAATAAAAATGGAAAGGTTTTAAAGACTCAGAATTTGCATTATTTGCTAGTAATTGACTTGAATCATAACAAAAACATTTTGAAAAGTGAAAAATTTGAAATTTTGAGTTTTTTTTTATGATAAACACCCTGTATGTTCTGCTTTAAGTGTTAAATTTTACAGAAAATGAGTTTTTACAATGTTTTGACTCATCTAACACTAAAGTTTATTTGTTTGTGCAATATATTGATGAAAATATTGAGACATTTTGCAAGTTGTTCAATTATTTGCTAAAAATGGGTTAAAATCATGTTAAAATTATTCAAAAACATCAAAAAACTAAATTTTTCTAATTTTTAGAAACATTTGATAATAAACACCCTGTATTTCCTGTCTTAAGTCTTAAATTTAACAAAAAATGATTTTATACAATATATTGAATCGTCTAACATTTGATTGTACAATATATTGATGTAGATATTGGGTGATTGAGCTTCTCTTTGCTGTAATAAAAGAAAAGTGAGAAATAAATTTATTCAGTTCCTGTGAGCGCGCCGGGTTCATCGCATTGCCGAGGCGTGACGTGCCATAATGCGCTGATATTTAAGCTTTATGGAAACAAAGGCGATTATTGAGTCTAATTAATGATTAAATAGAATTAGCGCGCGCATGCATCTGTCGATGGGTCGGCGGGCGCCGAGGCGACGAAACGCATGACATCACATCCTGTCGATGATCCGCTTACCGACAGACACGAATATCATTTCAATTCCCTTTCTCGATATCATCTTTACTTTTGCTACCAAGTGTAGACTATATAGTCGCAGGAGCAATGCAGAGAATAAAAATAAAGAATGAAAGTTTCGTTTTTTTGGGGATTACTTGATAACTAATTGAAGGATATTGATTAATTTTTGGATATAGATTAATAATTAAATTCTACGTTTATATGTGAAAAGATTTTGTTAATTGAATTAATAATTAAAAAGTTATTAACAATTAAATTTCAATTTTAATTTTTTATAAATTAGTCCGTAACTTTTAACTAAATTAATATTTTTATTAAATATTTAGTTTTCAGTTCCGCTATTTAATACTAAACAAATCCCATAAAAGAATTTTCAAATAACTCAATTAGTTTCCAAGTAATTAATTAAAAACTAAAATATTCACCAAAAAACTAACCTCATATTGCAACCGCGACTATATTTTTACAAAAATAGTATAAATACACCGCCCATATGAAAAACAAAAATAAATAGATGTAAATTTGTAAATTTAGCTATTTAAGTTTAGTCTTAAATGATTTTTATTTTGAGCGCCTTCTTGGCGGTTCATAGAAGAAGCAAACGAAGAAAGAGTTGATTAGTTAATTGACGCGTGTGGGCATCGAGAAAATATGCGGAGTGGATGGAGGATGATTATAAATTACATCGCCGACCGGAAGCGCGCATTTATTACGTGCGAGTGCGTTACTCATTGGCAATCATCAATTTTAATTCCAATTGAATGAATTGATGCAGCGTTACTACTTACTGCAAGACTTGAACTTGAATCGAGTAACGAGCGCTTTGTTTTTTGATTGTATGAGGTTCAGTTTTAAAGATATTTGAAAAATTTAAAAAAGGATGTATTTGCGGTTAAATTAGACGTTGGTTGAATGTTTTATATACGGGGTGTTGTAAAAATTGGGGCGGTTAATTGATGTTAAAGTCAAAAAATAATTTTAAAATATTGTTGATTTTTGATTGTTGATTACGGCTACAGTTTTAGGTACACCTTGTATATTAAAATTGAAATTATTGAAGAATTTATCTGGCATTATAATGCAGTTTAAATTTTTATGATACTTTGCGTAGTTTAGTTGTAATTAATTAAAATGTGAAACAGTAATTTTTTTTCAAAAAACTTTTTTTTACAAAAACGTGATTTTCTTTGAAAAAAAATTAAAACACCCTATACAAACTACTTCAAAATGATAAATATTTTACCTATATACCTAGTTTTGAAACAATTTGTCTAAAATTAACAATATCTACGTAGTTATTGTAAGTTTTCCTGCTTGTTTGCAGATTGATTTCACTCCCCTCGGAATCAAACCGCTAAATATTTATCATAAATCTGCGAATCGCGCCAAACCGGATACAGGTTTACTCTGGTGTTTGCCGTAGGTTGCGGCGAGCACAAACATGCGAAATGCGCACGCTAAATACGGCCGATAACCACCCTTGCGCCTCGTTTTCGCTTATCGGCTTGTTCGGTTACCGATACGAGAGGAGCGCGCGCCCGGAAAGCGCCGTTATTGGTTTTTGGCTTTCGAATGTTTGGCGATAAACCGAGCGACGGCGACGCGTCGAAGGTGGCAAAACCGCCGCCACCGCCGCCGCCAGAAACACGCTTCCGGCGATGCGTGTGCGCCCAAAATGCCAAAGCGGGTTTATTTGGCGTAATGACGCGAAAGGGTTAACCATTTCACGCCTCGATCCTGTTGATGGAACGATGTTTAACTGATTCATCCATTCACAATCTAAATTTGTATAATTTCACATTAAATTCACCCAAAACACAAAAAATAAATTTTATTTCTATTGAGATTGACACAAAACGACATCCAAAAGTCAAAGGACAATGATTCATCTCGACGTGCGTTTGTGTCTGCATGCACATCGGCCCCGAATAACCTCGATGCAATGGGATGACTTCTCGAGGGAGCATTCGAACGAGTGCCGTTTTCGCATGCGAGAGAGGTGCCGCAGATAGATGCATGCGATATGTGACTTCCGCGATGCCTTACAATTTCCTGGCGCTCTCGGAACAAAGACGAAGAAGGCGAGGAGGACGTTAAGTGAGCGTGTGACATGTGTGTCGAAAAAATTACCAAGACATGCGACACGCGACGAGCTCCAAAGACATCTGAATTGACATTTTCCCAGAAAAGGAAATTCTTCAATGTTTCAATTTCCATCACTTAAATTATTGACAAATCAATTTATATTTAAATATTAAATTAAAAATAAAACATAAATAAAAATAATTTTTATTTATTTTTTATTATTTTTTTATTTTGATGTTATTTTGATTCTCCCTATTGAATATGTCATGGATACTTGTTGTCCTTGTAGCTGTGGATGTCCAACAACCCTCTTCGTGTGCACGCCTCATTGGTTATTCCCACAGCGCCTTTTTTTCGCCCTTTTCTCCGTTTTTGAGGTTTCGACATTGACATCAATTGGCTGTGTGTCCACACCGCCTCCGTTTGCGCAGCGGGGGCGGTCAGGAAGGGCCGTTTAGCTTTTAAAATCAGTGCGGCGTGGCAAAAAAATAAGAAAAACGAGGGTGAAACGGTTTAAGTGATTGAACCCAATTGAGGGAGGTCGATTCCAAGCGCAATTGCTGCGTTTGGGGTGAAAGGGATAGTGGTCATCATGACACGCAGGACATTACCATACATACCGCAGAATGGCAGGATTCAAGGATTTGAAAACAATAAAATACAAATAAAAAACTTTTTCAAGTTTTTTTTTTATTTTTTTAAAAAGAAAAATTTGTTTAAAAATAAAAAATAAATAATGTGATTACTATTTGATTATCATAATTTTTTCTTGAATTATTTACCAATTACAAGTAAAATAAAAAATATTTTTTACAACTTGTGCAAAACAATGGATATTTACGATGTAATAAATATCAGTGAAAAAAGCGCGGTGTCCTACAGCGATATCAAAGAATCGATGGTGGTCTTTGGGTTTAACGAGTCGGCGACGCGGTTTACGATCGTTTAGCGTTCATTAAACACGCATATTTACAGCTAATTAATCGGAATATCATAAAAGCGTTATTAATCGACCGCCGGCCGAACTCGTCGCATCCGAGCCAAACTTTTATTATATCGATTTTTATCTTGTAATCTGCGCAAGGGACACCAAACCTATAAAATCGTTTATTATATCGATAATTTACTTATTATTTGCTTTACAGCTGCAGTTATATTGAAAAAATACAAAAAATACGAAAATATAAAAAGTTAAAGAAAAAAATAAAAATTTTGTTTAGTTTTTTGCTTGTAACTTATGATGTTTTTAATTTTTTGTAAATATTTTGACATATATTGATTAAGAATTAAATTATCTAAAGATTAATGAAAAAATGTACAGGATGTCTTCAAAATTCCCATAATTATCAACACTTAAAATTTAATCATTTTTTGCATTTTTTTAAAAGTGATTTTGTTTAGAAATTTGTTAATAACTTTTTAATCTCAACTCAAATTCCAATAATTTTGAAACAGTCAGACAGAAAATTAAATTCTCCATCACCTTCATCTTTAATT